ACATGCAGTGGATGACGATTTGATGGACTGGACCAGTCAAAGATTCCAAGCTCAAACCCAACATCAGAGTCGGGAGATGTGTCTTTTTGTGGAGGAAGCATTGTCGGTTTGGTTGAGGCCTACTACCGAGTAACAAGCACGTTCAAAGTTCAAATCCAACATCAGAATCGGTAGGTATGTCTTCTTTTTGTTTTATTTTATTTTTTTTATTGGGTAGACATCGGTAAGTGTATCTTTTATTATTTGCATTTGCATCTTATAAATTGTCTTAATAATTAAGGTTTATTTAACCTTTTCTCATCTCAGTCTCAACGACCAAGAGAATTAAAAATAAAAATAAAAATAAAAACCGCTTTTGTAGGTGTTCCCACTCTAGAAGATTGAGTTGGGGCGGTGTCTTAAAAGTTAAGGCCGTACGTAGCCCTTCTCTTTTTCCTTTAAACACTCAAATGCTCTCAACTTTCTCAATTGGAATCCTCAAAGTCTGTTTCTTTTCTTATTTTATTTTATTTTATCTTTCTAAAGCCAGATAGATCTGTATGTTCAACATGGAATACGAATATGATAATTTGACATGAGAAAGTCAAGTTAATGATTATAAATGAAGTATTTTTTGAGAGGTAACTCAAATGTTGAACTTTTTCTGTTTTTTTCTTCATCATCATCATCATCATCATCATCATCATCATCATCATCATTATTTATGTTAATTTAGTTTTTTTTTATTATTGATTTATTTTACTTTAAATTGTTTTCTCTCTCATTGTTCTTGTTGCACAAGTTTGAGGAAAATTTAAGTCTCATGAATACCGAAGGCACCTTAACTCTATCTCTTTAAGTGCATATAATTTGGAAAGTTTCTTTTCTCCTTTATTTATTTCTTTTAACAATGAGGACAATATTTGATTTAAGTTTAGGAGGTGGAAATCTATTTTAATATTCATATTTGTATTAGATTACATTCATATTTGTTTGCACACCATTTTTCTTCTTTAGAAACAGTTTTTTTTAGGAATTTGATCATTGAATGTCAAAGAATTGAATATTCAAGAGTTAGAAATTCATAAATACCCCATTTGAAAAATACAAAATCTGGAAAATAATGCCATTTTGATTAAGTTTAGGTTCGTGAGTTCCATATTTTACTTGAGCACAAATTACTAAGAAGTTTAAAGAGAATACTTAATAGCACCTAAAAAGCACACAAAAGCAAAAGAAAAATTGGAAAAAAAAAAAAAAGAATGTTCAATAAATCATGAAATAATTGGGCAATAATGCTTAGTTCAAGCATCATCATTCACATGAAAAGTGATAAGTTGAGCTGCTCTTAAAAAGAAATCAAATGTTTCATGACCCTTGTTACTTGAATAGGTATGTTTTTAAGGTTGTCTTCTCACCTAATACCCTAAAACCATTTGGTTTGGGAATCATTGGCGGAAAGCTTGTTATATGGGTAATTTAAAAAATCTAAGGAACTCAACACAAAGAAAGAAAAAAACCTAAGGAAAGAAGAAAGAAAGAAAGAAAGAAGGAAAGAAAGAAAGAAAGAAAAGTACAAAAGTGCAAAGGTCTAAATTCAGAGAAAATATGTAAATAAGGATACTAACTTTGCATTTTTTTCTCTTTGAAGATGTTAACTTTATAAATTTCCAAACAAGGATATTAATTTTCAACTTTTTTTATTTAAAAATGTCAATTTTTAATTTTTTCTATGAAGGATGTTAACTTTTTTTAAAAGATCCATTTGCCACGTTAGTATAACTATTTAATTAATCATTAAATAGAAAATGTTGAAAGTTGACATTTTTAGAAAAAGCTAAAAGTTGACATTCTTAAATAGAAAAAACTGAAAATTGACATCCTTAAATAAGTTCCACACAATCTCTTTTATTTTTTTAATGTTAACAATACTAATCATATAAATATTGTATGTTACGACCAAGAACTTAGTGGTCTAAGTAGAAAGGGTTTGGTTCCTCTTAAGTAATTAAGGTTTGGTTCCCTTTTCTTCTTTTCTAGTTGGGATTTAGGACCTATATTAGGATTGGGGATTCAACCCAAATTGAGTCTGGGGTTTTAACCTAGATCGAGTTTGGGGTTGTAGAGATTTTGTGACTAGGGTGGTTGTTGCACTCAGATTTGGGTTATTGTAAAACCCAAAATTTTTGATGAGTTTGATTTGGGGAATTGGTTCATCTTCCTTAGGCATAAGGACTTGGAATTCTTGATTAATCAAAACCAAGGCATCACAAGTGGGTACGAAGCAACAAATGTCAGTAAATGATGCCGATATGAAAGGTATGGCTCTAATCTGGATGAGCATCGATATATAATTCATGGAGGCTAGCAACAACAATGGTGATGGTGTGAAGCTTTGTGGTGGAGCTCTGCATATGATCCGTGATTTGGGTATTTGTTTGTTTGGAGGAAAAATCATGGTGAGAAAATCTTGGGAAAAAAAATTTGATTTCATGGTAAATCTGGGAGAATTTGAATGAAAATTTTCTTGCTTTGTGGTATGTTTATCTGGGTATTTGTTTGGTTGGTGAGAAAATCAAGGGAAAAAAATTCCATTGGTTTATGGGGTTTTTATTGAATTGTTGAAGTTAAGCTTTAGATGTCCTGTAGATGGAAATGGATTGAAGGAGGTGAATTTCTTTTGCAAATTTTTTGGGTAGTCTAGTTGTTTGGTTGTAGAGAAAATTCACAGGACAATGAATTTGTTCTTTGATTTTGTTAATTTTCCTTAAATTTAGATTTAATTAACATTGTCAAATGATAATTATTTAATTATATATGTTACCACTAATTGATATTATTTAATTATTTAATTATTTAAGTAGATGACCAAGTTTGAAATTAACTTTTCAATTTTACATGTAGAAATGTGGATTATACGTGGAGGTTGCCAAATCCTCAATGTGATAGTGGTTTTTTTTTTACATGCAATTCTTTGATTTTCAAAAATATAAATTTGTGGCATGTTAACGTGCCAACTGAGCACTTTTGTCAATGGAAGGATTAAGTTGGCAGCGAAAAAATAAAGTTCAAGGATAAATACAGTAATTTAGTAAGTTTAGGGATGAACTTGGTCCAAAAGTGAAAGTTAAGGGACCAAATTGGGTATTTAACCTTTAAGTAATGTATTGCTTGAAAAATCAAGAACACCCTAAATCCCCATTTTAGCCGGCACACTTTTTCTCTCCTCCGCAACATCGCCGATCAACTCCTCCACTTTTCTATTTCGATCACGAAACCACCACCACAACCACAGCCTATAAACGGCTTAACCACCACCAAAGATCCATCTTTTCATCCTTTCCATACTATTCTTTTCTCACTAGAGTATTTCCAATGTGGTAGTGTCGTTCATAACATCCAGAGCTAAATAAAGCAACTTAAGTCCTCAGAAATGATAAAAACCACTCACAGTCACCAGACATCAAACGATCAAAAAGATTTCTACTTCGATATTTTGTGGTTTACTTCACATAATTTATGTTTCCTTTTTCATCAATATTTACTGAATTGAACTGATTTACAATGAATACATTATCATTTCTTTGCCTTTTTTCTGTCTCTCTTTGGAAATTTAAAATTTAAAATTAGTAAAATTCACATCAGGCAACTAATGAAGTTGAAGTGCAATTTATTGATGCAGCTTTAAAGTACAACAATTCGCACACACAAAATAAAAACAAGAAAAACAGAGAAACGTAGGCAAAACAATACATAGCTAGAGGCTACCACCAACAGATAAACATTCGTTTTCAAATGATCCTCCTCATCCTTCTCCTCCTTGACATCTTGATTCGGTAAGTCCTCATCAACCACTCACATGTTCTTGCAAAAACAATGTTTCCAATCACCATACCAACAAGGAATCCACATCCATAACCCAATGCCACTGCTTTCCAACCAAATTCAGCTAGCAATCCAGAATCTTCATTTCCTTTAGAGTTTGAAGATGGTGGAGGCGAGACCTTTGAATTGTCACATTTCCTTGACAGAGGCAATCCACACAACCCTAAATTCCCATCAAATGAGCTATTATCAAATGCATCAAATTGTTGGCCATTCGGGATAAGTCCTGTCAAATGGTTGTAAGAAACATTGAAAACTTCAAGGAAATTGAGCTGTGTCAGCTGCGTGGGAATGCTTCCTACAAGCTTGTTTTGAGAAAGGTCTAGAGCTTCAAGATTTTTGAGATTTCCCAAGGCTGGTGGGATTGGACCAACAAGGATGTTGTTGGAAAGGTTGAGCAGTTGAAGTCCCTTTAAGCTCCCTACTACATCTGGAATCTCTCTGTCAAATTTGTTGCAAGACAGATCAATGGCTAAGAAAATCTCTAATACCTTTGCATATTCCATTTTCACTCCTTTGTTTGTTATTGTCATTGAGTAGGGGTATGGACTGGCACCGATTACGCCATTCAACACATAATTGTCATATGCATGCCAATATTTTGTGTTCTCCTCATCAACATCTACCATGGCACTCCACAAGTTGAAGTATTTTGTTGGTAGAGGACCAACAAAACCATTATGAGGAAGGTCAACAATCCGTAGATTAGGAAATAAGGAATTTGACTCTAGAACATTAATTGCACCATTGAATTTGTTGAAATGCAAAATGAGAATCTTCAATCTGGGAAGAGTTCCCAACCAATAAGGGAAGGTATCTCTGATATGATTGTTACCAAGATCAAGAAACTCCAACATTCTACAATTTGCCAATGATCTTGGTACCTTTCCTTGCAAATTATTCTGTCCTAATTTAATCACTTGTAGATTGTTTCCAGCTACCCAAGTTGGAGGAATTGGGCCTTTAATGTTGTTTCCTTGTAAATTCAAAATCACCAAGGATTTACTAAAGTTGCCAATGCATTGTGGGATCATTCCATTCAGGTTATTATGAGACAGATCTAAAACTTGGAGAGAAGTTATGTTGCAAAACTCAGATGGGATGTCTCCACTAAATCTATTTTTAGAAACAAAAAAGAAATTAATGGAAAATGGAGGGATTGGTAGTGAAGCTTTAAGCTGGTTAAAACTAAGGTCTAAAAGGACTAGAGTAGACGAAGGAAAGGAAATTGAAAATTTTTCAAAGTTTGTCAATGAATTATGGGAAAGGTCCAAATATGACAAACTTTTACTAAATTTCCATATCCATTTTGGTATCTTGCCACCAATGTAATTGTAAGTAAGGTCGAGGGTTTCTAGTTGGTCCTGGTTACGTAAGAAACTTGGAAACTCTTTTAGATTACAAGAACCAAGTCCTAGAAATTGGAACTTTGTAGTAGTGGTGTTGGTACTCTTCTTAGTTTTGATAAGTAACGAAAAATTGTTTCCGGATAAAAGCAAACATTTCAAGTATTTGAGCTCAAGAAATGTGTCAATCTCAACTGTACCAGTGAAGCTATTGTTATCAAGGGTCAAGCTTTCAAGCTTGGTAAGATTACCCAAAGAAGATGGCAATAAGCCTGAGAAGTTAAAACTACCAGCATTCAAAAACTCCAAAGAGCTGAGCATTCCAATTGAGGTTGGTAACTTACCAGAAAATTTTGTGAAGTGAATTGCAAGAACCATAAGCTGGTTGTGAAACTGAAACTCAGGCAAATTACCTGTAAGACCAAAGTTGTAACTCACATGAAGGACCTAAAGTTTTGGTAGTTGGAAAATTGCCTTAGGGAACTCTCCGAACAGTCCACAGCCACTAAGATGAATGCGCCGCAAGGAGGACATATTCGCTAAGGTACTAGGAATTCTAGAATTCATATCAACATTAATAAGGCGAAGGTATTCCAAGCTTGCCATATTTTCTATCAGGCTTCTTAGGTTTGGTCTTTTCAATTTTAACAATCGTTTTTTTAGAACCAAAAGGTAACTATAACTGGGGCTTAGGTCAAGGGAGGACAAGCTAGTAAGTTTTGAAAGTTCAAATGGTATCTGTCCAAAAAAGAAAGAATTTGAGAGGTTGAGATAAGTTAAAGCTGTAAGATTTGCAAAAGTAGATGGAATCTTAGAATAATTGAAGTCATTGAAGGCGAGATTAAGGTACTGGAGGTGAATGAGGCGGCAGAGGCTACTATTGGAATTGAAAGAACCTAAAAGACAACTACTACTGAGATCAAGGCTTATAACATGACCAGTGTCTTGGTCACACCATATGCCTTCCCAAGAGCAGCAATCCATCACTTGAGATTTCCAAAGAATGACTTTAGGATAAGCAAAAGGATCATTGGAAGAAGCATGCTTATCGATGACAAAGCTTTCTTTGAACTGTAACAAGGCAAGGCGCTCATCTCTTTGACAGAATGGATGTTGGAAACACGGCTGAAAGGAAAAAACTAGCAAAACAGTAAAAACCAAGAAGTGAGCAAAAGAGGACTCCATAATTTGTTCTTGTGTTTAGCTTTTAGAGATGGAAGAACGTCATGCTGGTTAAGAGCATATATAGACGACATGCATTACGTTGAAATGCAACGGCACAAAGACCGATAGATTTTGATCAAGATCTTTGGACGGCCCACAAGCTTCACATTTGTTACGCGCTCATCAAGTTCATAGGATACCTTTTTTTAAAGTAAGCAATTACTTTTTTATTTTGATTTTTTAATTTAAGTGAAGAATGTATTTATTGTACTCTTTTATCATTAATTTTTATGAAAAAATAAACGTTTTGATTAAAATTTTATCAAAAGTTCAATTAAATCATTTCATGTTGTATTTCTGTTGAAAATAAAATTTATTTTTGTTATTTTTCATATAATTTAATGATAAAAATGTGTAATAAATATGCCCTTAATTTATATCTTAAAAAACCTTTTTTTAAGGGATGGGAAATAGTTGTTAGAAAAGAAAATAATAAATTATTTTTCAAATATGTGTACTAAGAACACAAGTTAAGAGTGTATTTATTGCATATTTTACAATTAATTTATATGAAAAACTATATAAGTAAATTTTATTTTCGACACCAGTACCATGTAAAATATTTTAATTAGATGATGATAAAATTAAAATCAACTTTTACTTTTTACATAAATTAAAAGTAAAAAAAATAAATGCACTATTAAAGTCACAATCTAGAGATTTCTAATAATAAAAAAGTAAGAATAAAATTAGTCATGTAGCGTTTTCAATAAGTCTCAATACATTTTCTTTAAAGTAAGGAATTAATTTTACATTTTCTATAAGAGAAAAGAATAATAAACAATCTATTGGTCAGAGTGGAAGAAACTTGATTCCTTTTAAATAAAATCTTAAATTTCAATCTTATGAATAGAGAAATAGGCGTTAGGAGAGTTTTTTCCTTATGGGTTTGACATAGTTGAGATCCAATCTCTTGTTATTAAAAATGTCTGTACATATCCAATTACATTATACCATTAAATGGGATATAGTGTAACTTTAATTTTGTCAGATTTATTTCATGATTATTACATTTTTTAATACCACAGGTTCCCCCTTTCTCTTTTCTTTAAATACGTTTTCAATAAGTTTACTCACACTAAACTAATAACTAATGATTTTAGTTTCTAATAAAACCTCTGAGAGGAAATAAAATATACTTGGCCAAAAAAGAAAGCTTGAAAATGAAAGTTCTCCAAACATCTTAATAAAATGTTCTCGAAGGTAAAGCATTCCAAGAGTATGTTCAATTGGATCATAAGCAAAGCATCTCTAGTATGTTTGAATTGCGTGAAATGGAGGAAAGGAGAGGGGAGAGTTTTTTAACTAAGTCAATTACAATATTTTTAAATATATATTATAATCTAATTGGTCAAAAACTCTTCCTCTCAAATCTTCTTCTCCTCTCCTCTCTATTTCCCTCAACCAAACATATTATTCATATCTCTTATCCTTAAGGCAACTACTGTTATAGAGAAAATTAATGTATTTTATTAGTTATCAATAAAATTTACAATTTCTATATATATATATATAAGAAAACTTGCTTAGAAAATTAACTAATGAAATATTGCATTGCTACTTTGTCTCAAATAATCAAGCCAAATGTCAAAAAATAAAACAAAACAAAATTAAGAACAAACAAAACTAGTTCAATAATACAAAATTTTAAATATTGATATTCTTTTATCTTTAATTCCCTCATTTCCATCTCTCTTTTATTCTAAAAAAACTCTCAGAATCTGAGTTTAAATGAATATTTACAGGATCGAGAAAACGCTATAAAAAAGAGGTGGAACACGTGCCGAGAAAAATTTGTATAAAAAAATTAATTGCTGAAAAATTGTTTGCAAGTGTTGACTAGCTCTGATTTGAATTAATTACCTTGTCCATGTCGGGGAATTTGGCCAATCAGTGGCCTCATTTGTACGCTACTAATTAAGAAATTAGCTTTAATTTGAATCGAGTTGCTATTGACTAGTAAGTTAAGCGAATCAAGCCAAACCCATCTACAACTAAGAAATCATAAGGAAATTAAAGAAATTTTAAATGACTTGAGCTAAAGGATTATACATCAAAGAAGATATGATATATCTGCTCCGCTGGGAGACTTGGAGAAGACTTATTCATGTCCTAAGATATACATTTCTTAGATTATCTTACTTTAAAGAGGCAGCGTTTCACATGCCAAAATCCTTATTAGTCACGGTCTAAGAATTTTAGTTGATGTATCTCACTCTTTTTTTTTATTTTACTGTGAAAAATGGTCCAATGATATATATATATCCCTTATGTACATAAGCTATGGCCCATTAGTACCCTATTCTCTGTACATTGCCAAGAAATTAACTCTAATTTCAATACACTTGCTATTGACTAGCAAGTCAAGCGACTCAAGCCAAACCTATCTACATACGTCTCAAAAATCAGAAGGATACAGAACATTTTTGGCCAATCTAGCTTGTAGCTAGTATATATTGAATGTGAAATTAATTGACTTGAGCTAAAGGCCTCTACATCAAAGAAGATATGATATATCTACTCCGCGTGGGAGACCTGAAGAAGACTTATTTATGGCCTAAGATTTACATTTCTTAGCTTATCTTACTCTAAAGAGGCAGTGTTCTACAAAGTCCTTATTAGGCATGGCATAAGAATTTTAGTTGATGTATCTCACTCTCCTTTTTTCTGCATTCTACCGTGGAAAATGGTCCAATGATACATATATCCCTTATGTACATAAGCTATGGCCCATTAGTGGCTATTTTCTATATATTGCCAAGAAATTAGCTCTAATTTGAATCCACTTGCTATTGACTAGCAAGTCAAGCGATTCAAGCCAAACCTATCTATGTTCATCTCATAAATCAAAAGGTTATAGAACATTTTAAGCAAATCTAGCCAACCAGCCAGTATATGTTGAATGTGTAATTAATTTACTTAAGCTAAAGGCCCCTAGTTCGAAGAAGATATGATATATCTACTCCGCGTGGGAGATTTGGAGAAGACTTATTCATGGCCTACGATGCACATTTCTTAACTTATCTTACTCTAAAGAGGCAGCGTTTCGCATGCCAAAATCCTTCTTAGTCACGGCCTAGGAATTTTAGTTGATGTATCTCACTCTCTTTTTTCTATTGACTAGCAAGTCAAGTGATGCACTAAAACCACCCTAGCAAGTGTACTAGTCGCCCCAAGTAATATAATGATGAGAGAGTGTCAAACCCATGAGGATTGTGTCTAACTAAGTACCAAAATAATTCATCTAAATTTATTTGAACAACCAAATGAGAAGAAAGTTTAACTAAAAAAATAATAAAAGAAAAATAACAATTAAATTAAACCTAACCAAGATATGAGATACTAAGGCATTGACTTCACCATAATCAATCAATATAAATTCTAAATTACCAAATTGTTGAGTGTTATTGCATGTGATGGCGGATTTCTCTAAATTAATTAACTAGCTTTCTCAAGTCAAGTTAATCCTTCACTTGTTTGTTAAATTAATCATATCTCTATATAATTTTAAACAAACTTTTGAGCATTAAATTCTATGGAAACCTCTAGCTTAAGAAGGGGGAGCTCCTAACTCTCTTCTCTTCCTCCACTATCACATGTGAGCTAATTACCTCTCGGTCTCATAGTCTAGCACACGGTTTATATTATTATTGGTCTAATCTACGCAATTCTTTATCAAGTTAATGCATAAATCACTAAATCAATTGAAAGGTGATCAGACTTCCAATGCATTAAGTTCAATAATGTAAACTCCTCGTGCAAATAACTTTAATTGAAAGCATAAAATCACTAAATCCATATTGAATTGATTAGGCTACATCGTAGCTCTAGTAGAATAAAT